TGTATTAGATCGCCTACTGGATTCATATTAGAATTTGAGTGCAGTGAATTCTTGCTTCTCCATTCTTGTGATACTTTACTAAGGAGAATTTTGCCCACATTTTTGAGAGAAAAATAAAGATGTGCATTATACATGGTAGTACTAATTCCTTATCTACATAAAGGTTTTTCTTTTACTTATGCTTATGTGTTAAAAGTGAAAAACTCTAGAAAGCAATAACAATATCTATTATTGCAAAATAATACCCTGGAATACAGTACTAGTACCCCCTCTGCACGACCCCCCTCCCTGCCCACACTTTCACCAAGTGGGCGCCACAGCTGCGGGAGTCTCCAGCCCACCCAATCAATTGTGCTGGACACTGCCGCGGCCACCATCTTGGAAGCAGGCACATAGCTGATGTTACGTCCCTATGGTTATGTCATGACCTTGGCACAAGGAGGGTGGAAATAACCACGCAGTGGTGCCGTCTTCACTAGTGAGAAGCACGAGGTGCAGAGCCCGCCCCCACCCCACAGAGAATCCAGGTGCAAACCCAGGCATTAGAGAACCCAGGCATCAGAAAACTCAGGCATTGGAAAACTCAGGCATCAGAGTACACAGGCATCAGAGAACCCAGGCATTGGAAAACTCAGGCATCAGAGAACCCAGGCATCGGGGAACTCAGGCATCAGAGAACCCAGGCATCGGAAAACTCAGGCATCAGAGAACCCAGGCATTGGAAAACTCAGGCATCAGAGAACCTAGGCATCAAACGAGAGGTCTGGATGACCTGAGCTCCCTACTTCTTCCAGTTTTCCCCTCCCAGCCCACTCTTGCCCCCGCATCTTCTCATTCCTATTCTCACCCATGTCCCTCTGTGGGTACTTGGTCACAGCCAGTCTGCTGAGAACCTCATTGGGCTTATTTCCTGGGAAGCTGGTGTGAGGGGCCGGGACTGGCCTTGTCTGCTTTGGGATCCCAATAGTAGGTCCCTGCCCTTTCCAGGCTGTCTCATCTCTCCTGTGTAGGTGATTAAAGTTTAAGTTGAAATGGGTTTTAATAAAGGGAGAGTTCTGGGGACCTCCTCAAGTCTAGTGAAGAAGCTTTGGTTTGTTTGTTGGAGTCACTGTATCACCCTCGCTAGAATGCAGTGGCCTCATCATAACTCACTGAAGCCTCAAATTCCTGAGCTCACAATTCTGCCTCAGCCTCCCAAGTAGCCGGGACTATAGACATGTGTCACCTCACCTGGCTATCTTTTCTATTTTACTCTTGCTCAGGCTGGTCGTGAACTCCTGAGTTCAGGGAATCCTCCTACCTCAACCTCCCAAAGTACTAGGATTACAGGTGTGAACCGCAGTGCCTGGTCAGAAGCCTCAGTACTGAAATGGAAGTTGCTACAGACTCACTGGACTGGGCCATATTTTGGTTCTGCTTTTCTAGTAGGAGTTGTGCTCCCTGACCCGCTCATAAACCATCTTATATCCTCATCTCTTTCAGCTCTTCCTCCAATCCCAAATCATCGTTCAGTCACCCTGCTTACAGATCACTGACTAGGTTAAGAGCATACATAGCCAGCAGCCACAGACCATGGTGACTTTGACCCCATTTTCAAGGGACTTCACTGACTGAATCTCAGCAGCATTATTGTTATACTAGTCTTGATTCCAGAAAATACATTATTCAGCTAATTTTATTTCTTTTCTCTTAAGATTCTGAAAAATCTATCTCACTGTCAGTTTACGGTGATATAATGGTGGACTAAAATGTCAATACAGTTTGATTACTGGTCATTTAATATGCAGCTGGGGTTTTGTGTCTCTATATTTTTGAGTGAGCAGGGGCTCTCTCTTTACTTTCTTGCTAAGAACATTGTTTCACACAGCTGCGATCACTAATAGAATATCAATATACACTTTTTGTACTGTGCAATTATCATAGCAGTTTTGCCTGGCACTTTCTGTATCTGTTTTAAACTCATCTCCCTTAATTTAAAGGATTTAAAGTTTGTCTTTTTAAAGACGTTAAAGCCATTGATTAAAGAAAAAGAAATATTGAAATGTCATCATTTCTGAGAAGCTTTCTCTTTTACGTTAAGAGTCCTTTCAGTGCTCCAAGCAACCCCTGGCCATCTGGATCACCCCCGCCTACTGTGCTATAAGTGTATGTTATATATACTGCTCGGTCTTCATTCTGGGCTCCCTCAGGGTGGTCATTTCCTCGGTTTGTATCACTCCTTGATACATAGTAGGCACTTCTGTATTTGTTATGTGAATGGATGAATGAGTGAATATAGAAACACTCTTGGCGCCCGTGCTCAGTGGTTAGGACGCCGGCCATATACACCAGCCTGGGCCAGCTAAACAACAATGACAACTACAACAAAAAAATAGCTGGCCTTTGTGGCCGGCGCCTGTAGTCCCAGCTACTCAGGAGGCTGAGGCCAGAGAATCACGTAAGCCCAAGAGTTTGAGGTTGCTGTGAGCTCAACTATGGCACTCTACCAAGGGCAACATAGTGAGAATCTGTCTCAAAAAAAAAAAGCTAAGTTATATTCTATATTAGACCCAGCGACCTTCAAGTGGTTCTCATCAGTGGTATTTTGAGTGAATGTGCCTACTTAGAATCCAGACATTTGTGACCGTAGACAAAAGCTTTCCTATACGTTTAGTCACTGAGGTTGGAACATCTAGAAATGTGTCAGCTTTTTTCAAGCGCTATAGAGTATACAAAAATAAGAGAGCTGAGCTAAGGGCAGCAAAAAGGTATAGAATAACTGGATAATTCTGCTTTTTATTTTTTAATTACTTAACCTCCCTTTATGCTATCAGAGGGAAAAAGGGAAAGATGTTAACATTATAAAACGACGTCAGACAAGAATGTATTTTCCCTTCCTTGTTCTGTTATCCTACAGGGGAATTTTATATTCTTTTATGAAAGCTAAGAGAGTAAACTGAGAAATAAGGATGGACCATCCACACAGAAGTAAGCACTGCATGGTCCTAAGTGTAGTCAGTTAGAGGAGAAAAGCTGATTCTACTGATACTAAATTGCAGAAGGAAGGAAAGACTGAAATTGGTAATAAAGAGGAGGTGAAAGTGAGTTGACGGTCTTTATAAGAATGAAGTAATAACTCAAAATGAAGTGAAAACTGAAGGGTTAAGTAAAATAACATCTCCTGGTCTATTTGAAATAAAGCTCAGCCTATTAATTCCTGTTGTGATTTTTTAGTAACCCTTTTTCCCAAAAATAAGTCTGTTGAAGGTAAAATAATTTGCAAGGGTGGAAGTTTCCAGAGAATTTGGACTACATCCCTACACTGAGAATTGCTGTGACCCTAATGATTCGCTTCCATTTCTTCCATGATCTGGTCCTGTTTCATTTTTAGTAAAAAGCATTTAGCCCATTTGAAAGACCAACATAAAACGTTCATTTTATTATATACTTTATTTGACATGTACTCAGAATTTGTTGTTTATAATCAAAAGTTACGGAAAATGTTCACTTTACATATGATTTCTAATCATTTTATCCAAAAGGCCCGGTGAAATGACAGAATTCAAAATAGTCAGCCCCAAGAAATTAGAAACATTTGAATTCTCAGGAGGAAAAAAGAACGCAGTACTTGATACAGACAAAGCTAGTTCCAATGCTGAGTGAGGGGGTTTGTTTTGTAGCCTATTATTATTTTAAAGCACGAGTAGAATATCTATGTAAACCCCCTTTGATTTGTATCAGTAGGTTCAGTCACTGAAAAATTTGTCACTTTTCTCTCCTTATACCAGGTTGTCGGTGTAGCCCAGGCCATCAACAAGAAATCAGGAAATGGTGGGACGTTCACTGAAAAAGACGAGAAGGTACCAAACCTGGGTGTGGCATGAAGCCAGTTTGGAAGATCCTTTCTCTTGATAGTGTAGAGACCTCTATGTTGGAATTGTTGGTCACAGAAAAACATGGCTGAAAACGATCTGACACATTCAGAGATGTATCTCAGGCTGAATGCGGGGTTGATTTGCCCTGTGAGCTAAGTTAATCTGTCCCTAGAAGCCCCCACGTTCCCCCCTCGCTGTGCCACCCAGGCTCTGCTGGGCTGTGCACTCTGGGGCCACCCAGAGGGTCACTGGCAGTGTTTTAACTGTCTCATTTAACTTTCATCACTGCTACAGAGATCCAACCTTGAGTAAAACCCATAAAAGCACTGCTCCAAGTTCAGCACTGCTGGTTGGCTAAAAGTTGGAATTGCCTCCTGGTGAAGCAAATTTCCAAATGTTTTATAAGCCTTGCACACAGACAGTAGGGCGCCGAGGTGTGAATTCAGGGCGGGTGATGTGAATTGAGCTTCAGAAAGAGCAGCAGTCAGCATTATTTCATCTGCTGTTCTCCTCCAACTGTGAAGGAGTACTTCCATGTGCCGCACTGACGTGCTTCCCCTCTAAGGATGAAAGCTGGTAAACCGCTTTATAACTTCATTCTGACACCAGGTCTTGTTATTTCTCTGTGGAATATGCAATTATATGTATATGATAGCCAACTGAATTCTTCCTACGCTCAGCCCATTTATGTTTATGTCCTAGTAGGAGCTTTTGAATTTGGAAGACATTCATATAAGACAGTTATTTTTAGCTCAGGGCTATTGGTTGGATTGGCACCTGTGTTAGTTACCGCGTTTTAATGGCTTCAGAATATATAGCAAGTATTTTATAAAATCAGAATAATAGACATCTAGGGCCCTCTTCTGTTAATGACACCTGAAGATATTTGGTGGGAAAACGTGTTCTTAGACTGGCTTTATATTCCATCATTATGCTTATAGTTCATTAATGTAAACCCTCTTGAGTGTATTTGCAGTTTTTAGGCTCTATCACATCTTGACAAAATAAATCCATAATTATGAATAAAGTATGCCATCTAGGCTCGGTGTCTGTAGCACAAGGGGCTAAAGCACCAGCTACATACAACAGAGCTGGCAGGTTCGAGTCCAGCCCAGGCCTGCCAAACAACAATGACAACTAAAACCAAAAAATAGCCAGGCACTATGACAGGCACCTGTAGTCCCAGATACTTGGAAGTCTGAGGCAAGAGAATCACTTAAGCCCAGGACTTGGAGGTTGCTGTGAGCTGTGATGTCACGGCACTCTACCCAAGGCCATAGCTTGAGGCTCTGTCTCAAAAAAAAAAAAAAAAAAGTATGCCATCTAAAGATAAAGAGTTAGTTGAATCAACAATTAATATAATTGTGAGCACGTTGCCCTAGTATAGCTTAATGAAGAAGATAGACCATATGTAAACTAATATTTGCAACTTTACATGGTATTTAACTTTATGGTTTTATTACCAATATACTCACAAGCCTGTGAACTTTCATTTGCTGTGGTAGTAAGTTCTAAGCTATTTATATAATTTCAGCATCGATTCAAGTCTTAATGTCATTCAGAAGCTACAACAAATTTTTCATAGATGAATTGCAATTTCCAATGACATAAAGAGGTCATTACCTTAGTCCCTCTCCTTTCTCCTTATTAATTAATAATCTAACTATGACCTTAGGAGGCTGCGCTAACACAACTTCTAATTCTAACATTTAGCTTAGTTTTGTATCATTCTAATTTTATGCAGAACAAACATCTACACTTCTGGCTTTCTAATTGTGAATATTTTGGATGTCTGTTATCTTACCTGTTTTCTAGGACTTTGCTGCTTATTTGGCATTTTGCGGGATTGTTCTTCATAATGCTAAACTCTATGAGACTTCACTGCTAGAGAACAAGAGAAATCAGGTAAGTCTGATTACTAAAGAGAAGAGTATAGAAATTGATCCAAGTAATGTGTGCAGATGATTCAAAATTCAAATAGTACAGATTCAGCTTCTAAATATCTGAGCTGTTTATTTTTTATAGTCATTTCCATTTCTTATTTTCCATGCTCAATTGCTTTATCACTGTTAGATAATATTCATTCACTTGGGGGATGAGGATTTATTTGACTTACACCATCCCTTACTTGCCACTACCCTTATCCTACCAGTATCATCATATCACTGTTTTAAGCTATAGAGGTTGCATTTGTGGTGCTATATAAAGGTTTTAGTTCTTAGTCTGTCAATAATAGATTCCCTACTTTTATAAGAAGAGCATCTTAGCACCTCTGTTCCCTTCATCTCTCTTACCAACTAACTACTCCTTAATCCTGCTTTTTCATTCTTTCATTAATGTATTGCCCACACCGGTTAACATATGTGTTGTTCTACAACCAGAATGAATTTTTCTTAAGCTTTTTCTAGGTTAATTCTAAAGTTGCTGTTTAAAACAAAGTATTTATAAATACTATGATTATATAAATGTTGTTATTATTACCCTTGTTATACAACTTTAAATTTTTCCCCAGATTTCTGAATTTCTTTCTTTTCTCCTTGACTGTTTGCTCTAGTGTAGCCTTGTGTTCTTGGTTTTCCACCCGAAACTCTCCATTACACTAGGCATTCTGGTCAGTTCCTCTTTTCCTTGGACATGTCCGTCCGACTTGAGGTTCCCCACATTTCCTTTTGCAAGCTAAAGTCTTCAGCCCTATGCCTGCTGCACAGCTGTCGTGGAACTTTTCTTCCCTGCTTTCTTAGAAAGATTCCACTGTTTTCTGGATTTTATGACTTTACAAAGGGTTTGGTGAGGTGCGCGTCCTGAGTCCTTGTCTGTATGAAAATATCTGTCACCCCATCCTGCCACTGTGGCTCAATGTAAAATTCTAAATTGAAAAATCAGCTTCTCAGAATGAAAAGGTGCTGCTTTGTCTTCTATTAACCATCTACGTTGCTCTAATGCTTGTTGGCCCTTTTGTAGATTTTATATATATTAATATATAACATAGAAATTGTATGACACAATTCATACAATTTACATTATATATCCATATTGTGTATATTTGTCTATAAGCTTTTTATATTATATATACATATTGTGTATATTCAGCTATAAGCTTTTCATATTTATTAATCTTTGCTTTTGTAACTTGATTTCACAAAGTGACCCTTTTCTCATTCATCGTGCTGGTACCATCATGTCAACTTATTCCTTTCAATCAGAAGACTTAAGTAAGCCCTTTGGTCCATGCAATTCTTTTCTTACTGTTTCTTTGATAATCTTGACCCTCTATTTTCTCAGGTCAGCGCTTGTGTTAGTAAGATACTGGACGTTCACCTGCTGTCTACCCCACACTGCTCTCCCTGCTCTGTTCTTGCTGTCTTGATGTACTTTCATCCAGCCCCAATTTACAAGCACAGATGTGATCACATCACTTCTCTCCTGCCGTGCAACATGGTCCAAACTCTTCAAAAGACATACAGGGCTTTTGGAATTCTCGCTCTGTTTAACTCTGTAATCTCATCTCTCAGTTCTTTACATAAAACGATCAAAACTTTCAATATGCTACTTTCTCTTAATTCTAATATTTTTGCCTGCAATATTTTCCTTCCCTACTTTACCTGCAGGATTCTTTCTCATCTTTCAGAGCCCTGCTAGGATAGTGTCACCTCCAGTGAATTTTCTGTATTTTCTGAATTTCTGAAGTTTCTTTCTCCCCCTTCATCATATAAATGCTTTGTGAGATTGGAGTAACTTTTATGGGGTTTAGAGGAAAGAGAAATTACTGAAAAACACACACACACACACACAAAGGAAACTCTTAAAACTTTGTTTACTCTGTATAATATTAATTACTATGCTCTGTAAAATATTGATAATGTTGACAAATGTGGATCTCAGAATTTTGGAACAATATTACTAGTGTATATTAGAATATTATATATCAGATACTGTTCAAAATGCTTTATAAATATTAACCTTTTTAATCCTCTCAACAGCTCTATGATTTTTTTATTTATTTATTTATTTTTTTTTTTTTTTAGACAGAGCCTCAAGCTGTCCCCCTGGGTAGAGTGCTGTGGCATCTCAGCTCACAGCAACCTCCAACTCCTGGGCTCAAGCGAGTTTCCTGCCTCAGCCTCCCAAGTAGCTGGGACTACAGGCGCCCGCCAGAACGCCTGGCTATTTTTTGGTTGCAGCCCTTGTTGTTGTTTGGCAGGCCCAGGCGGGATTAGAACCCACCAACTCAGGTGTATGTGGTTGGCGCCTTAGCCGCTTGAGCCACAGGTGCGGAGCCTAACAGCTCTATGATTTTGGTTTTTTAATATTCCAATGTTTAGGGCACTTGCCCTAGATTACAAAGTTAGCAGGAAAGGAAGTCAAGATTAAAAACTGATTACTCTGGCGTCAGAGCCTGTCCTCTTAACAATTATAGTAACTCTATTAACAGTCAATAGGCAATTTTATTAATTAGCAGAGACATTTAATACTTGAATGCAGACTTGGTCACATTTCCCTTCCCTACTTTACCTGAATGGTTACAACCTGCTAAATTATATAAGCAGTTTGTAGCCCATATAAATCATTGTCCTTTAATAATTACAAACAACTGCTAAAGAATAAGCTCTTAATCTTTTTTGTCTAGGTGCTGCTTGACCTTGCTAGCTTAATTTTTGAAGAACAACAATCATTAGAAGTAATTCTGAAGAAAATAGCTGCCACTATTATCTCCTTCATGCAGGTGCAGAAATGCACCATTTTCATTGTGGATGAAGATTGCTCCGTGAGTACAGAGTATGACTTTTTTATTTTTAGAAAGACAGAAACTTAGGTTCCTGTAAACACTGCTCTTAAACCTCGTTTTGGCCTCAGAACCCTCTCTCAAACCCAACTGTGCACAGAAATAGATAGGAGCCATTCAGGTTGAAGAAAGGTAGGGATGGAGGGTGCCTTCAGTGCCCCCTTCACCTATGTCTGTGCCCCCCTCCCCAAATAGTTACTGTAGGAATGTCTGTGTGCTGCTTCTGCCAGGGGCTATCCTGTCTTGATGGAAAATGCTTTGCCATTATAGTGTGCTGACTTTTCATGGTCAGGAACAGGGATGCCCTGGTTGCTATGAACAAGTAGACCTCCTCCCAGCACGTGCTATTCTGAATGGATTGGATATCAAAATTTCTTTTTACTAGAAGTTATCTGGAAACTAGAAGGCGTAGCCCAACAGAGGCAATATTACTAAAGGTGCCACATCCTTTGCCAACACTGGAAAA